ACTTTATAATTACAATTAGTTTCAACAATTATTTAAATATTTTATTTTATTCGGTAGAAAGTTAGCCTGTGTTTTTTTTCCGTTAGCGTTTTTGGATGTTTACGCGACGACATTACAACGAGCGTTTGTATAAAAAGAGTCGTTCATTGTCGAAAAAATAAGTTTATAAATTTATATCCGAAATCTACCAAAGGCGACGAAAAAATACGAACGTGACGCGAATCGATTTCACTAGTCGTGGTAAGGGCTTTTTTTTAAAATGAGACACAAAAGAATCATAGTATAGAAACTACTGTAAAGTATACTCCAATGCATATTATGCAAGTATTTTGTACATTCTTTCTTGATAATTATATTTGTTTACACTTGTCCACCTAATACTTATATATTTGTAATAAATACTTTAATTTTGCATGAGCTTACGGTTAGGTATATAAGGTATATACGATATATTGGTACTTATATGTAGCCGTGTAATAGATACACCTACAATATTACATGCAAATAAAGGCATTAATTAATTTAAAAATTAAACTATATATTAATAAATTCTTTATAAACCTTTTAACTTCACTAGTTAATTAATTTTCTAAATAATAAAAACATAATTATTACTGCAGTTAATTTAATAAATATACATCGATTAAATATCATACTTATTTATATCTATATAACTAAAATGTATAATTGTAACTAATTAACAAATAAATATTCTTTAATTTGATCATTTATTTGACATAAACGTAAAACGTATAGGTAATAACTTAAAAAACTGCAGCTGCTAGTATTATACAATAAGAAAGAATAAAATAGGATGCATTGTTCACAGTTAGATATAATATAATATTTGTGAACTAAAAAATATACTAAAATATTTTTAGCTAAAATCTTATTAACTAAAATATTTATGTATTAAAAATTTATAATAGTTTAACATTTTCAACGTAGATTTAACTTGCTTAAGTTTATGATTTTCATTAACTTACATAACTTTAATTATATACCTATATATATATATATAAGTTCATAGTTTTATTTAATTTATCGTCCGTTTCCTGAATAATAAAAACCTAACGGCCACAAATTACTGAAATTCTCGTTAAGCCGTTTTCTAAAATAAAACAGAGCACCTGTGTCACATTGACACTTTCGAGGACCCGTGACGGTTCATTGGGACATTAAGTTATCAAAACGAATTAGGACGGCTCATAACGTGTTACCGTCTTAAAACCGCGCTACTAACTTTCAGCAAAGATAGTCATTAATCATTATTCATTATACACGGTATCTACAGGTTTGTTGCTATGGTTGTTTGCTCGTCGTTTTTTTTCGGCTTCGAAATTGGTCGTCATCACCTTAGTACCTACGTGCAGCGGTGCAAGTGAGATAATTTTGAACACAGATTATTTCTATGTTAGGCTATCACTAGTCGGAGTGGTTCAGATATGATTACTGGTTGTAAAGACGATAAGACTACAATAAGAAAAATCGGAGAGTTGTAGGGCAGAGAACGGATTGGTTTTTGTAGCTGGTCCGTCCAGGAGAGCCTTCTTCATAGGAGCCAAAGAATTGCAGTCTTTCAAGGTATGAATAAAGTTCCATGTGTTTAATCGGTTAACAAAAAGTCACGTGGGGAGAACTAAACTGTTATCGGTTTTGATTTTGGTGGCTTGGAGTTCAAACTGTCTATTTGCTACATGATAACTGGACTATTGTCGAAGGACGATCGATTACGCGAATTGACATTTTGAGCATGGACCAATTACGCCTAAAACAAAGTTTTTGACTAGGGTCAGTGCACCAATTGCGCTTGTATTTAAATTTTCCTATCTCCAGAAATGAAAATATTGTTTTTTAATCTAATTTTATCAACATCGACACAAACAATCTACACACAACAATGCTTAAAAATTAAAAACTTATTTATTAATTAATTAATTAATGGTTTAAGTGACTGATTAAAATATATTTTATAATAGTATCGGAAATTTTATGAAACATTATTACGCACATTTGATCGTATAAGTACGAATTTGAGTGATACGAAAATAATTTTTCACTATCAGTGTGTTATTATTATTGTAAAAAAGTTTAAACTTTGTAACTATGTAACTGATATAACTTTAATTTTGAATAATTAACTAGGTATATTTATTTATATTATATTACGAGTATGTATTTATAGTTTATATTCGCAAAAATTCGATGTGTGTATTAATTTATTATATAATTATTACTAATTAAAAATTTTTCATTAAGTATTTTAAAATATTTTGAACGCAATTGGTAAACTCTCGACAATTTACCGATTAACGGGTAGGTACTCTTCAAAACAGTTGTATACTGTAACTCGTGCATCGCCCGCTGACCAATTGCTGTTCTGCCAGTTCATAACTTGTAATCAGAATTATCAAATCCATTATTGTCTACAAGACTGTGCACAGAATAAAATTCAGCTTTTCGCCGTGACTGACATCACATGCGATATAATATGATACTTTTAAGTACTTTCTTTTTTTTCAAATTTCAAGTGGTCGGACTATAAGAAATAGCAAAAAAAAAAAATTTTTATGGAAATTAAAACACCTAGCTATGATTCCGTTATTTTATTATTTATTTGACTTAGACATATTATTATAATACGCAGTAAGTGCATTACATATTTCGGTTATCAGTTTTACATTTTTATCGCTATTACAGTACAGTAGGATAATAAATGAATGACTGATCAAAACACCACTTCCGGTATTTATATAGTATAGGTACTTAATTCCACGACACCGATTAAAATAATATTGCTGCGGGTTGATGTTGGTTCAATTTGCATAATGCGACAATAAATTGTGCTATAATTATTTTGTCAGTTTAATATGTGTCATGTACTCTCATATGTTAATATAAATCAGATAAATTAGGTAAGATTGACATTTCAAACAAATAAATCTGATAATGATTTACTATAATTTTTCTCTGATGCTCATATAGAGCATCAGAGAAAAATTGAAATCAAAAATCGACTTTAATAAATGAAATCTATTTTAGGGATTTTTCACAGTATGGCCAAGATAATGGATATCATTTTAAAGTTTGTAGCATATGTCATTTTTATAGAAATATTCTCAAAAGAAAGCAAATATTAACATTTTTTAAAATACAAATTGTACGAGGGCAAGATAAGAAACTGTAACTATTAAATATTCTTAAACACTTAATAATAATTTCTTGACTTATTGTTATTTTCAGGCTTAAGTACTTAGATATCTACTAATTAAACTTTTCAACAATTAGATCAGGTTTAACGTACCTGTATGTAATTTTATAAATATAATAATAGAAAGTATTACTATAGGTATTAGTTATAAAATATAGATATATAGACTTAAATTAATATTTAAATAATTTTTATAAAATAAAATTATCCCACAATAGTAATTTATCGTATAGAATAGAAAATGGAATAATTAATAGTTATGACTATTATAAATTGTGACTAATTGTCGTTGAGTCAGGTTAAAATAAAAATGCTCTGTCTAAAATATTAAGTAACTGCTAACGATTACAAGTTAATCACTTTTTATAATTTTTATTATTTTTCAAATGAAAAAACTTCCTTAGAAGAAATACTAAAAAAAAAAACAGAATTTTTTAAGTATTTAAAATATTTGGTTAGTCGTCACTCGTCATTGACCATTATGCTTATTTGTGTTTAAGTATTATAACGGATTATTAATTATCATTCTTCGTTCATTGAAGTTGGTAAATATACTACACTTGTATTAGACATAAATACCTATATATTATAATACTTAGTGCTCATTAGTCATTATATGCGACAATCGTTTATTAGTTATTACATATGGTCATTTACAGATATCATTAATCTAATCTAATTTTTATAGGATATTAATTTATTTTTAACTGATTGCACATTTTTAAAATTTGTCACGTTTGGTCTTACAACTTTATTTTAATTTACTCGTAAGATAATTATTCGAGTTCGAGTACGCGTTTTATTGTCGTTACAAAGAGTATCTGTTTCAAAAATCTAAATACATTGGATAGTGGATACTCAGTGATATTCATCATTTTATCCAAAACCAACAGCAAACTTATTTTTGAACAGCAAGTAGGTAAACCGTAAACTTAAAACTTTAAACGATTCAATTAGTCTGATTGGTCAGAACTTCAAAATCTATTTATGTAAAAATGTAAAATATTATCATGCCTCATATAAAACAATTTAAAATAATATTTAATTGTAAAATAAATTATTTTAATGGAAATATCAAAACATTTATCATACCTAGGCTGACGACCGTCTCCACTTTACAGAATTGTTTTTATATCATGATTCATAATAAAATTCAATTTTAACACATTCATTTCAGTGGTCTACTGAATTACAAGGAATAAAATACTCGACATCTGCTATACACAAAGTGACTTCCGGATTTTTATCTTTTTGGAAATTTATAAAACATTTTTAAGGAGGCCTAGCTTTACTGCTTAAGCCTCTAGTTTCTACTTAGTTCTATATTAAATATAACCGTTTTAAAATGTGCGTGTGACTTACCGAAATTCTTGATTTATTACTTACGGGGCTTATAATAAGGTAATAGTGCCACACGCAGCTAGTATGTACCACATTTCCATATAAAACAACCATACCGGGGAAGCAGTTTAGGTCGCTGGTTGGTATGTAATACAATCGACGTTAGACTTTCTGGAACCGGCGAGGTAGCCTTGACGACGTGTCACGCCAAACACACTATATCGTTATGCAGTATAGTTACGCGTGTTCATGCTGCCATCGCATAATACATTAATACATAATATTTTTATCAATTAAAAATAAATTACAAATTTACAGCTCGATAAAATAGTTAGTCCCGTAATTTTTATGGTGAAGATTATCCAGTTGGATACGCGAACATCGTAGTTATTTTATAGTTATACTATGTATATAAATATTATGAACTATAATTGTTTTTTAGTGACTAATGAGATACTTTTAAAATCGTTTCAATACTAGTGCAATTTCTAATGTGTATAGTCAGAATAAAATTTGTAAAACTCATATACTTGGTGACTAGTGGTTGCCGGCAAGATTCTTCTTCGTGTTAAAATTGAAAGTTTATTCGATAACTACCGGATTGATCAACTTTTATTTTGGATTTAAAAACAAACATTGTTATATAAACAGCAATGGGTAAAATGTAACGAAAACAGTTAATGGTCTACGTCGGTTTTGATCTGGCTAGGTAAAGTCCACAAGAAATACCAACAAGCCTTAAACGGAAAGTGGTTGGTATCTCGGTCGTTTAGGGGAAAACGGAAACTGCAAATATTTTCTCGTAGCTGACTATGGACGTAAAAGTGTTGATGGTCCAGGGTACTCGTCACGAGTCTGGCGGCTTCGCGTGACGCCGGAAAATTTATCTTGTAACGACTGTTTCGTGCGGCCAACACGGACGGCCGGAAAAAAAAAAACCCGAAACAAAAGACTCTCTCGAGAGGAGCGAGCCGCTTGGCAACATCGCGGTCCGCCGCCGCCGCGCCGAAACCGGTCTTCGGTCGTTACAGGTGTGGTACGCGGTCACGATGGTTCGGTCGGACAGGTACCGTCGACAGTGGGGGCGCAGAAAGGGAACGGATGTGGCGGCGGTGGTGGAGTGTAATTGGTGGCGGTGGTTGCGGCGGTGAGGCGGTGCGCAACAGTAACGACAACGTCGACTCGGGAAAAAAGGTGAGTCACTCGGCCGCGTCGCGTGTGTGTGTACCTGCGCAGGTTGCCGGTGAGCGGCGGCGGCGGCGGCAGGGAACACCAGCCGCCCAGTGGGGGAGTACCGAGCGTAGCGGTCGTGGTGTGTATACGCACGCGAAAACATTCCTCTACAACTGCTACGCCGCTGTTGCCGCCGCCGCTCGTACCGCACGGCGATATTTAGTATTAATAATAATATTATGGTTTGGCGGGCCTTTGGCGGTTCCCGTCCGACCTCAGGTTACCTCCACGGCACCGGGACACTGCTGCCGCCGTCACCGTCATTTACAACCGCCGTACGTTAGGTGAGCGTCATCCACGATTGTTATTGATCGTTGTTTGTCAATTACTATTGTAAAATAATTTGTTTTCGCGACGCGGCCCAAACCGGTTGGTCTGCCGCGTCGGCGGCGGCGGCGGATGAGGTTCGGCCGAAGCGCGCCAAATGCGTACTGCGTTCCCGCCTGCAGTCACCGTCGTCGGCTCGGCAGTCGGCACTCGGCCGCGCGCGACTTGCGACTTGTTGTGTCGATAACGACAATATCACCGTTAAGTCTACGCGTGATACGATCGTTGTTACGTCGTGTCCGGCCTTTACTGCAGGTCAAAATATAATTTAATATTGGATTGCAGCCACTGCCATGACGGGCTTGTCGCTGAGGAAGCCGTGCGGCGAGAAGGAGTGCCCCGAGTACCACATGTGCCAGGCCCACGATCTCCAGTGCTATCCGTGTCATTCGTACTGCAACGAGACTTCGCACAACTTTGACGTCAAAATATGCCAACAACAGTGCCAAGGTACGTACCACAGATGCCGAGAATTTCGGCCCATATATAATTATTAGAGTCTTAGATCTACGTTTGTGTTTTTATTTATTACGAATTTTAGAGGTACATCGTACTGACCTACTCAGTATAGACTTATCCGAAATTTCCGATTAAAACTAATGCGTAAATAGTATAATTACGGGCAGATACGTGCTTTTTTTTTTACCGTACGAGTCTAAATCGTACGCTTCATACACCTATTAATTATAGTGCTGCGTGGAGTACGCGAAGTGACTTTATATCATACTATGTCCGTTTAATATAAAACATTAAAGCATCTATATAAATGGCCAGTTCATTGTAGTATCAAGTGTTATGTATTATAATAATGCTTGCTTACCGCAGCTGCAATAGTTTCTGCGAGGTCAACCGCTAACCGTCCTTTCTCGGCGAAGAAAAAAATTATAAACGACGAAACGCGCGCCCGTCAGAAGACCTTATTTCTGTCCACCGACTTTCTACTTTAAAATATCGTCTAATATATTCATCGTGCTAACCGCACACGTACAACATACATTTACTCATAATACCTACCTCATTTCTACGAATATTCATGTTAGTCTTGCAGCCGGCTGGTGACCGTCACATACTCACATCCGAAAGAATCTAAGCTCGTAAACTGTCAAGATAAACACAGCAATGTATTATAGATAAGATAATGCTTTGGGGAGTACTGTATAATTACAATACATGCCATTTATTCTCTTTGAGCTGTGGCAGATATGAGCTTTTACTTTTCCCAACAAGATTCCTTCAGTGCACCTTTGAATGTTTATTGCGCGTTTTTGTATGAAATTATTCTTGTTAAATCGTTCGACTTGTATTGGATTTTGTTCATATAGTTTTTATTTTTTATAAGCTGTTTTAGTAATACGTGTATTATACGTAAGTACAACTGTACGAGTAGATCTGGTAAACAACGTAGGGCGCGATGATGATGATGATGTACGTGATTGCGGTGTAAATAAAAATTAAAAACAACACATTCTTTAAGCGATGGTCCGTAGACGGGTTAAAGTTTTTTTTCTCACTAGTCCTCTTGTTATAGTGAGTTTTTTTCCTTTAAAATAAATATCGAGATATTGGCAGTAGAGAAGGGGCCACAATAATTTAAAGACTTTCATATTACTTTTACGCATACAATTGTTAATAGTTATTACACGTGTGTAATAAAATATTAAATAAGTATTAAATAATATCCGAAAAATTTGTAAAAAAAACTGCGTAAATCTTATTATAATATCATCAAACATATGTATACGAGAAATTGCAGAGTTCGGATTTTACGTGTAAATTTAGCCTTTATGTGTATAGTATCGTAAGTGTATGACGCAGACCTCGTACCACGTAGTCATAGTACCTATATAGGTGTATCTATTATACTATGAGAATAATATATATATATAAATATAGTAGCGAGACGAAATTGGTTGGTGGTCCTGCTTTGTTACAGAGTTTTGTTGTTTTTTCTTCGTGTGTCCTTGGAATACGATTCGAGGGGAACAATTCCAAAAAGAATTTGGTGCCTACCTTAGTATTGTTATTTATTGTCTGTAAGGTAATAAATAATGATTTATGGTACCTGTGGCTGTATAACTACAATGTCTTAAGTCTATACTAGATCATCAAATGCCCCCGCAACAGTATAATATATAATACTATATAACCAGTATATATCAACCAAAAGACGTGCACCCAGATTTCAAAAACTCTCCGTAGGATACCGACCAGTGTTCGATCGTCGCGCGAAGTATATTTATCATTGAAATACAACTGTAGAAGTCGAAAAATTCTACATGTTTTTCAACTTTGACGACTTCACACCTGTTGAATCCATGCGTAATCGTGTAAATTCGAAATTTTTACTGCAGAGTTATTAATTTCCGTTTTTATTACTCATTGTGTTTTGAATTTTTATTTTTTCTGATTTCCGTCCAAGGTTTTTTTTTTTTTGTTCTAAACAATTTTATGTTATACAAATCAATACTTATATTATTAATAAATAATAATATAATATGTCTACTACCACGAATGCAGCTCAACTATAAAATTTTCGTCAGTTATTGTAACTGTACTCCTATTTTATGCCCTATTTATTTATTTGGGTTATATCTAATGTGATCTCAAAAAAATTTGTGGTTTTTTATCCTTTCATGAATTAAGGTACTACATGTGTCGTATGTGTGTGTTTTTTGTGTACGTACTGTGACTTAAGTTTTATGAAATAACCTAACATAACACTGCTCCACAATCTATTATTTAAAACAATTTTAAATGGATTTTTTGCCATCATTTTTATATATATTTCGTCTAAACGAGTGTATACGAGTATAGTACTTACTGCAGAACGTATTTTATAAATAGTAGGTAATATATTTCATGAACTCCGTTGCAAAATATAATCTTCGATTAGATTCATACTAAAAATTTCAGAAACCATCTGTGGTGAAATTAAATTATAAAATAAACTGTATAACATTCAGTTGTTAAATTTTTGATGCCCAATGGGCAGAGAATATACTCAGTATGTAAATTACATTTTAAACATTTTTTTTATAATTAAGATCAAAAATTATGTACAGAGCTGTTTAAAAAATAAATATTATTAATAAAGAAATCAAAATTATTTAAGTAAAGTGACTAACACAATAATTTCTAATATATCAATTCAGTTTATTAAACAATTTAGGGCAATATTTTGTTTGTATAAATTGTACTATACCTGCGTAGTAAATGTTATTGGTAGATACATATTTTCACAGGTGGAATAAGAAAATTAGTATTATTTAATAATTCGGAACACTACTCATTCTATAAAAGAGACATTATTAAATACCTATACATATACACATATTATTTTATATAACAAAATATATTCTAGTCAATGATTAAAGAGAAATAATAACATAAGCAGTGATATGTACTGAAAAATGTAATATATTCATTTTAATTATAAAATTAAAACAATTTTTTTAATGTTTTCAGTACATAAATATGTGTATTTTTTACTATTCTACGTACGCTTTTTAAATATGGTATACTTATTTCCGTTGTACGTCATGCTATATTTTTCACTGCGATTCGACGAACCGTGAATTCACAACTATAATTGTATTATGATGCCCATGATAATTTTTACAATGAATTCTAAATACAACTTTAGATGATAAAGAATTAATTCATAACGCATTACCATAAATCAAAACAATGAGTTTCATAAATTATTAAAAAATATGTATTATTTTATGCTTTTAAACAAAAATACAGATAATTAGTTTCTCAGCATAAAAAAAATCTTAATATTGTTTTATAATTTATATTATTGTGTTTAATTAATTCTTTGACAAATAACTGAAATAAAATATAAGTTTTTATTTAGTATACAGGATAGCCCCTCTCCCTAAATAAGCTACTTGTTAGCCACTTATAAATTATAATATAAAACATAACTTAGGCAAATAAAAATTATTAATTGACATGAAATAAAAATAGAATTTATACAAATTCAATTAAAACTATATAGGTAGGCAGATTTTTTATATATTATCATTTATCACTCGTATAATAATATTTGATTCTAATTTGAAAAGAATTTGAACGTTTATCGAAATCCGCCGTCGATAAATAATATGTACACGCGGAAACTAGATTTTTCTATAGTATTACTATTTACATAATAATACCTAGCAAGAAAAGAAATTGAACGTTTCTTGAAATCCGCAGCCAATAAAAAATGTGTATTATATTGTTTAGCTGTATAATGACGAAACGTGTTTTCTTGTATTATAGGTACCTATGAATATTGATAGTATATTATCAACAGAAAAAAAACACGTAATGTTTTTGTTATTTTTCTATCTCGGATCGGCCAAATTCTTGTGTTTAATTGACCAAATCGTATATGTTGACATTTTTTAATCAAATAACCAGTTATATATTATTGCGCTACTGCGTAGATCAAACATTTTGTCAATTTTAACACAACCTGCACATAATATACATATTATAAACCACAATTTATTCTTCTTTTAAAGAATCATAGATCTTTCGTGCAAATTATTTAGTCATGACGCGTTTACAGTTGCAGGTTGTAACTGTATTGTTTATAGTTACACGTTGGAAATTATTATAACCGAAATTATAATAAAACATTGTATATAACTTTTTTGTACCAGTTCATGGTATACTGTATGGCGTATATACACATATAATAACACACAAGTGTGTCCAGACCTCTTTTGTAGATTGTGCACAAGCTAATATGTGAAATTAAAACTAGATAAGACCGTATAGAAATAAAAGGAGTATGACCCCTAAATTTTGAAAAAAGCATCATCGTTATACATCATTGAGGATTCTGAAAATAATAAATATAAAATCAATTTTTTTTTTTAATATAATGTTTATTGAATATTTACAATCTATACTTTATGTACAATGAGTAAATTTGAGGAAAGGATCGATATAAAATAATTTATAAATAAAATAGTTATAAATTATAATATTTTAAAGGAATTACAATTATTGATATCACATTTACACACGCTGTTCGCCAATTTCGCTGGTCGTTCCTATGCTGAGTTGTGCCTGTAGGCATGATGTTTAGACATAAAATTTGATGTATTATAGATTCTGCATGGCAATCTGAATCGGTATGTTTTTCGTTTTAGGTGATTTATGAAAAGAACCCCCATTATTTTTCTGAAAATCCTCAGCCTAGTGTGACCTGATTCTGTCACAGTGTCATCTATAAGACTGTGTACAGTTATTCACATTAGTGACTCATCGTGCGAGTATAATAATTATGTGCTTGTTTATAGCTCTAGGTAGTTGACCCATACCTATAGTCTATACAAAATGGTAGATATATGTTTACTGTGCATGGTGAATATCTACCCGAAACGGTGAAGTCGTTGTGTAAATGTGTTATAAGGGAAATCAATCGGGTCAACTGTTAGATAGTCATGCTGCTATGTAATATATGTACACATTTAATATAATACGCTGGAGGGAGAGTGTTGCTGGGGTAACTATAAGCTCAACATCGGCCAAACAAACACAAAAACATCCCAAACAATAGAATATTACACTCAGAAGGCCAGAAGTCTGTGTCGTCTTAGGTTTTATTATAATTTCGGTTTTTTAAATTTTATATTCTACACTTGGCGTATCGTCGCAGAACGTGCTTTATCAAGTTTGTTTTATCATCAGTAGGTATAATATACATATATATATATATTTATTATTTATTATAAGTACGTGTGATTTTTTCACTCCACTCCTGGGCACGTTATTAACTCAACCGTATAGGTCACACATATTATGTTTACCGCACGTATGGTAACTGTTGTGTACGCTACTTTAGTATATTGAGCATCATCATCCGTCCTAAAGCAAACGTAACATGTTATGTCCCTAAGTGATAGTCTAACGTTGATAATTTACCGCGAATGTATGTCAAAGGGTCGTGTCAGATGACTTATACAGTTATATATACTATTATTATAGTATTTCTTATTACACACAATGTGTATGATAATATTATGATAATACATTGGTTTTTGGAAGGGCAGATGGTATTATGGTGATCGCGGCGAAATCCGATACTCGTACCACCCGGAACACGCGAGTACTCGCGGTGCAGAGGACACGACCAATAATAATAATAATTATTGTTAATTCTGCAAAATAATTCAATTTTTCATGTATTATGTTGTCTTTATCATTACAACACGATCGTCCATGGCGGGAGAAGGGGGAATTGGGCGCGTAATATGAAATACTTTGTTTTGAATATAAGACGACTGCACAAGCGACGATTCGCAGTCGTCCGTATAAAACCAAAATGTGATTTATTCAACAGACACGACCATACTAATTTATCGTTTTTGAATTTGTTTGCGCAGATTACATACACGATTATGTGAAGCATTACGTCAAGGATAGTAACATCCAAGGTGAGCGACTGTCTATATACAATTATAAATTTATTATGATCATCGTTAATAGATAGTGTTGGAGGTACCTACTTTTCAAATATTTAATAATAAAATTCAAATTCGTTTCTACTCCGTGTACAGATGTGCTACAAGAGTTGGAGAGCCTGAAATCGTTGATAATTTGGTTGACGTTATTGGTGGTCATTGCTATCGCCTTGATGTCCATCATGTTGGCGTTCGTTTGGAAACGCGAGAGGAAAATGCCAAAGCTTAAGAACGGAGGCAAAGATTCATATTTCAAAAAAAAATTAGCTTTCTTAAAGGTATATATAATATATAATTTATTATACACTATTGTAATTCACAATAGGTAACGTTAAAAAAAAATAACCGAAAAATATTACCGTATATGTATGTAGGTAGGTACTAAGAGATGAGAATACGTGATGAAGGAAAAATGTCCTTATTGTCTCCTGTTTTTTTTTCTGAAATATCAACATGTTCAAGAAGGGTGTGTCGTGTTATTATTCTATTTTTCTCGGCATCGCATAGTATAAGAATGTTTTTCATTCCGTCTGGTGCAGGTATACGTGTTTTAAATGTGTTTAGCTCGGGGACGTGACGTTCACATCATTATACAAAGAGAAGCATATATCGTTGTAATTATATTTCCATTCGAACCTGGTGGCGTATATTATATATTATGAAGTATCACGAAGTGCATGCATATACAGGTGTTATGTGTTGTAATTGTGTTTTTATGGTCTTTTGTAACGCATATATATATATAGGTAGCCTCCGTTCCTCTCCCGGAATGGTCGCCGCTTCTATAAGACTTCTCCTGATAATGATTTGTCGTTAAATCGCAATTATTGTTTTTACGACGTATGTTAATATGTTACACGAATCATTCGGAGAAAAATGATAATAATCTTTTTAAAAAGAAAAATGTAATAACGTTAAGTTCCAATTTTGTTTTGAGGCGAATGTTGCACTACACTACCACAATATCGTCAACCACAAATCAAATAACAGACAATAATGCCATTCAAATATTTAAAACCATGTGTATTACACAACTTACGTGTACGAATATGATAGTTTAATAATTATTACTAGGTTTTATAAATGTCATTGTTAATAGAATACAATAATAATCATAGAAATTATAAAATGTTGTATTCACCACACAGTCATCGAGGGACACAATCGTAAATGTAATAGATTTTTAATGTTACTACACGTAATTATCAAAAATCACGTTTCAACAACTTATACATAATATGATATTATATATATTATTTACTTCAGTTGTCAATCGATATTTTCGTCCTTACTCGTTAACCCAAACAGTTCTTAATACATATTACTATTACCTATATTAGTAATATTATATAGTACCATTACCGTGATAACGATGGAAATATCAAACCTATTTCATTCAGACCTCGACCTCAAATTTTAATACATACATAAATGTATAATTATACATATTTTATAACATATGTATATGTTACTCAATATGCTTCACTTAAATAATGATATATTATTGTATTGATGCTCCGTATCGTGGGATGTTTACGGTTATTATCGAGTTGTGTTTGCAATATATGTCGTTCCGATGAAAAAAAAAGCCGATGTAACGTATAATATTTACACATTACATGTACATGTATAGTAATAATAAAAATAATATTTTGAAACGCGTACGTATACTGTGCCAGTTGTAGGTATATAGGAATTTAAAATATAAGTCATTAATATGTATGCTATGTATAAATATATATTGTGTGTAATGTGAACAATAAACAGAGCATACTGTCGTAGACGATTTTTTCCATCTGCGAAATCTGAACGTAGCAATAATTATATTATCATTAATGTAGATTCGTTTAGAAAAAATGGCTACTCGTCGCCTTGCGATGTGTACAATTAAATTATACTAATATGCATAGTGTTATACTTATCTTTTATAATACACATTTGAAGCTCTTATTTAATAAACAATATATAAACATAATTATTAAATAATATTATCGCTTTTCAGCATAGTTTTAACTTAAACATTCAATTTTAACTATTTCATATATTATAATATACCTAAAATCTAAATAGTAAATATATATCAAAATAATCTTATAAATGCATTTGATTAATATAAGGTCTCAGTTTTATGAACTGATTTTCATTATATAACTTCCAACAAAGTCAAGTCAGCCGACAACTAACAACCATTAAAAAATGACTAAAATGGCATAGGTACCTAAAATATTATGAAAAATTAAAATGTTTTTGTGACAATTTTTTACTTATTTTCTTAATTTGACTTAAGTAACGTACCTACAGTACCCTCTAGATATATAGTTATCAGTATTCTGATGATTGATTAAAGATGAACATTCGGCTATTATTCAATTTTTGTGCGTGATGATCAGAAAATAAATAACTTTTTATCTGTACGCCGCACCATAAGATTGATATAAAATAGTCTTCTTTATAAAATTATCATTTACGTTCGAACCACGTATAGTATTAGCTACAAAATTTCTGCAGAGTACAGTTATAATTGTTAATTAAATCACTTTAAAGTATATATTGTAAATTACTGTATCTATGTATTCAAAAAAATATCTTGAATGTAATTTTTTGCACTGGTCGCACTCGCCGTAAATTCGTACACCATGTGAGTCGTAAGACGCTTTAATGTTCAGCAGCAAAGTTCACAATTAATTTTTTCTACTTGTAATATTAATAATTACATTCTAGCTCGATCTATTATGATATCCGTATACACGACGAAGCTGCCGATTACGCAGTCTAATTGATTGACTATACGTATTGCAACATTGAATTCCGCGATAATGGTTTTAGCGCGATATATACTCGATCAAACTTTAATATGATATACATTTTTGTCGTGTGCGAAGTGAAAAATACTAAGCCATACAAGTCTCTGCCTTTACACATCGTACGTACATATGACGTTTTGAGCATTGAAATTTGAAATGTGCTCGTTTTAAAATAATAATACCTGTATAATATTATGTACATTTAAATATTATTTATTTTCTTCATCATCGTGTTTTAATAATATTATTGTCCGATTCGTAAACATTCTAAAGGTCTTCTTTGTGTTTTATGTTTTACCTTGTAGTTTAGGAAGAACACGGTTAACACGGTGAGCGAGACTGTGGACAGCAAACCGTGGACGGTGGCGACGACTATGATGGCCGCGCACACAACGGACGCCCCGAAATCGTCATCGGCGGGTTCGTCGTCCGGCGACAGGACAAACCGCACGACCGTCTCATCGTCGTCAACGTCTTCCACCGACAAACTTCCCTGCGAGGACGCTACCCTCGTGACACAGGAGTTCACCGGTTACGACAACCTGGGCCTGTGCAAAGTGTCACCAGTGCTGTGCAGCAAGCCAACGGCGACAATGAAGATGTACGGCACGACCGACGGGGACCTGCTCCACCGGTACTCACCCTAACCACCCCTATCGCTCCGGGCGACCGGAAGACTCGCCGTCGCCGATACGACGTGCCGGATTGGGATGTCCTAGACGGGGAGAAGTGGAAGACCAGACGATGACGTGCGGCGAGCTCGCGCGCGCATGGTCGAAGAAATAATTAACGTCGCCCGCGCAGGGCGGTACATCTAAAATACTTTTACCTTAGATATACATATTATTATTACCAGCCAAGGTTTGTGGACAATATCCGTTTTAGATTGTATTGTTTTAATATAAATTGTAGATTATAATGGATAAATTATTATCTGTGATCCTTGACTGACGGTCGCGTCTTGTCGTTTCGACCCGCCGCAATTGTTCCGCGGAAACTCGGTGAAACGCGACCTATTGTCTAACAATGTTATTATGTGTGTAGATTAATTTTGATTTGGCTCGCTCAAATGCTGTTTTTTGTGCAGAGGTGTGTGATTTTAGACTTTTGTGAGCGATAGCAGTATCGTGTAGTAGTATACTACTAGTTTGAGCGATTCGAAAACCGTTCCGGGAACGTTAACTAAAAAGTTTATAGTTGGATCGAGTGCATTTCGAAAATTTCGTTTTATGTATATTATTATCAATACAAAGTTTTGTCGTAGTATACACAAATTTTCAACACATAACGTAATGTCACACACGCACATACATTTTATATGTGTGCACGCGCATGTGTGTAACGCGTAAATTGTAGTTTTTTCGTTTCTTTGTACCTATATTATCATTACATTTTTTAAATGAACTGCGCACAGTATTATATCGACGACGCGCGTATCGCGGTCCAAGTACTTAAATCTTATTGTTGTTATTATTGTTTTTCTTTCTTTTTTTATAACAATATAAAAAATTTATACTATTTTGTGTATAACCTTGTATTTTGTAACTTGGTTGATACTTAGAAGTTAGGATAATGTGTTGTATATCGTATACAACTTTAAAGCATGTTGTACGCGCTTTAGCGATTAAATTATTTTAAGTATTAGATTTAGTGAGCTATGAGGAGGATGAAATAAACCTTTGATCAGTGAACCCCGTCCAATAAACTTTAACAGTTTTTAGATAATTTTACCCCACACTCGTCCATGTCTGTACATATATGTATGTGTATGTATAGATGCGCTGTCGGTGTAAAATTGTAAGTTGTCGGCGAACGCCGTTCGTCTAACGTTGTACATAATTATTATAATAATATTATGTTTTTATAGTAAAAACTTTTTTTTTTTATATAATATTATATGAAATGATTTTTTTTATTAAATTATATATTATAATATTTGTTTTATATTAATTTATAGGTACTTTAGCCATTTATAGAACGTTTTATTGTTTGTTTAAACTTCGTGAGACTTTTATTGTATAATTACTATAGTATTAATATAGTTTCCATAACACAAATATTATTAGATAGGTTTATTAATATTATATAGATTATAGTTACTATAGTTAGTAGTTAATATTAAAAATACATAGTAGTTAGGTTAATTTATCGTTCATGTAATCATTCATATTATAGAACCGAGACAATCATATCATATTACTTAAGAAGATATTTTTTATTAGGCATGGATATTATATTATTTGTAATACACCGTCGTACTTAGGTATCAATATAATATGTATACTTAGATAATATTATATTGTAAAAAAATGTTGATTAGAATCTAGTATAAAAAATAGGCACAATCTATAAACTATTTTATTTTTAACGTTGTTATTCATTTTTAACGGTTTAGACTTACCATAAAATGTGTATCGAAAAGCAATATTTATATTTAAGTATCGGTATTTGATTATCGTATTATTTTAAAACGGCGCCCAAGTAGAAGGCTCGATGACTATTTTTACACGTTACATGTACATAAATATACAATTTTCATAAAAATGTATTGTTGTAATACACAACAGAATAATCTATTCCTATTTATTTCATTTTTATACGAAAAAAATTATCACATAAGAAAAAATTATATTATGTTGCATAATATTTAATACTTATAAATACATTTTTTTTTATCTATATAATAATTATTTTTTATTTTTTTTACTTTAAATGACTCTGCCCAATTTTACCATACTTACCTTGAGAAAACGCCGAGAAAAATAAAATGCTTCATTTTCAAAAGACCCAAACCGTAGTAATTATGTCACTATGTAATTGGTTAAAAAAAATTAATTATAAAAAATATTAAAGAAATGTTAAATAATAAATATATAATACTCAGGGATTTAAAATGTTTTCATTTTACTCTATCAAAAATTATCTCAATTTATAATTTGCGCAGCACACTTTAATTTTAAGTCCAACTACACTTGAATCTCAGTTTTTTTCACCTTTGTTTGGTTAAAAAATATAATCAATGTCCAAGTATTCCAGCTTTTATTTTTTCAAACTATAGCTGTTACCTAAGGTCATACTCAGTACATATCTTAAAGGGGAGAGTTTAGAAATATTATTAAAAAAAAAATTAATGTTCAAGTTACATAATCTAAAAAAATATATTTAGAGTGGAAAGGTTGAAGTTTTACCTTCAAGGAACTTCTTAACAGCTACTTAAAATTACAGAACGTCAATACAACATTAAATGGTTGTGGCAACAGAATTTTTAAGTTATTTTTCATAGTTGCTGAACAGCTCAAACAATGATATGATTAGAGCACTAACTAGTAAGTATATAATACTATATTTCTGCAGCTCTGCCTCATCTAATAATCATCAAAGTAAAATAATATTATTTTTACATATTTTTATATTTAGCAAAGTATAAATTAGTTTTGTGAAGGGTCTAACATCAAATCAAATGGAATCAGTTTGTAAAAATGTAAAATGTACCTGAAGTTTTTAAAATTTGTTTTATATTTAATGTTTTAACTTGTATGAAATTCTAGTGGCATCTGAAATAAGGCAATAATTATGAATTTTTTTCAGTTAAGTATACATAGAGACATATTGAAAACAAACAAATCTAACTCAAAATTTATTTCTATTTTCATATATTGACTATAAAATTCTACCATCGTTATGCAAAAGATTTTCTAAACTCTTGTTATGCTGTTGCTTGTTTTAGATTCAATTATTTTAATTAAACTGCAGTAAAAATCAAATAATCCAATATAATATATAAATTTATATTTAAAACTTAAACCAATAAGGCAATAACATTATGTAAAAACTATTCAAGTAAAACATAAATTCAAAATTTTTTAAGTTATAACAATCGAAATTAGTAATTTGTAAACTTTATTGAAAATATTGAGTATTTTAAGGCTTTTTTTGTTCAGGGGAAATTTTATTTTGGTGGAATAGGCGTATCACAGTTACCATGATATAAATGCACTTTCTCAGTACACTTTGCAAATGAGTCAAACGTATCCGCATAACCATGTACTTTCCACCACATGCATAGTTGGCGATTCCATCCACATGACAAACGGTATATTAATTCTGGGTGTTCATAACTTACCAGAGTGTACCAGTCTTGATCACCCAAATGTCCCTTAAAATTAAAAAAATCATAAATTAATTATTTACTAAAGATCAAAAATAACAGATGATGTACACTCACTTTGAATAAATACTTTTGAACAACACCAGAAATCCATTCAGGACTGATAAGTCTATTGTACTCGGCACTTTTTCTTATTCGCTCCAAATATGACAGTATAACACCACTATTCAAGCCATTTAAGTTAGTATGTGGCTGAGTTTTGTACTTATCACCTTTATAGTTCCTCCATTTCCACAGTATATGATGGTAGACGGGGGAAAGTTCTGGGGCCAAACCAAAGAGTTGTGTGTTGGTAAAACTATAATAATAACAATATTTTTTTTATTTTTATTAACTTTGTAAACACTTCTAGTTCTGTTTACTTGTCGAATATGTTATAAAGGTCACAAATGCTGGATTGAAATGCTGTATCAACATCGACTACAATAGCTTTATCCAATAAATTAGGAGCAACTAGATGAAGTGCTGGTGATAGATAAAAAACATCATCACTGTAGTAAGATCCTTTTGATGATTGGAAAAATCGTTTCAATGGTTCGATATTACTCTCAACTATTTTCAGCACGTCTTGAAAATCATAATGAACTAGCTGTAAATCATCATACATATTACATACACTAATAAAACAGAATTTCTAAACTAAAAAACATTTAAAATTTATACTTACGGTAAGTAATGTTTCTTTGTATTGTTTGCTAAATTCATATATTACACCGTCAACTGTTGGACGGCTGGCATTGTCTGTTATAACATTTAGTTCAAAAACAGCACGGCACTTGCCACGCTGGCTAATAAGAGATTTAAAGAACTTGCGAAACTTTGTTAATAAGTGACCGCGAGCAATTTTTGTCACCGATATCCATATACTAACCTTAGACTCGGTCTTATTATTCGCTGGTACAGCCGCCACATGGCTCGAAGACAATATTTTCGATTTTATATTAACCGCAGACTTTGGGTTGGTGTACAGAATCACTAATATTGTAAATATCGTTATAGCTGTAATGATCTTGGCATAAGTGCGCATTAATACCACAGATGCATTGCAATTTTCAATAACAGTAGTACGAAAGATGACGTGTCTCTAAGTCATTTAAATCAACCAAAAATTGTTAACCATACTATGAATCAAAATTTAAAGGTCGTACACATAAGCTTAAAATTTAAATTGTAAAATAAGAATAAGTTAATACTTATTATAGCATAGAATAACGACTTACAACTTACATTTTACAATTTCAATTTTAATGTTTATTATTTACTTATTAAATAATTTAATATTTATTATTTACAGCGTACTATCAATATTCAAAGTTCAAACATCTGCAATATAGGAACCTCAGCGTTACCAACATATTTTGACTGTCTTAACAAAAAAAATCCTGCGCATCGAGAGAATTGACATTGTATGAAAATTAAAAATAAAAAATTGTACATAAATGTGTATAAATAATCGGGATCTGTGTTTGGACAATTGGACAAATCGATTAATTTGGAACAAGTACGTTACATCGTTATGTGCGCTTTGGCAAACGCTCGCGTAATGATATATATTATTAAATAGATAATTCAACACGTACCTGCCATAATTTGTGTTGCATATCTATCGGATGTCGTATGTGCTCCAATACCCATTAATATTTAATACTATCGCCATGGTTTTGGTGCTATCGAATATCGAGTCAGTCCAATATATTATCTAATCGTTGTAGTTGAGTTGGATCGGTCGTTTTTGTCGGTAACAGAAAGCACTTAAGCACAGTATATCAGTATACCTAGTCGTATTATAATAAGTATACACTATACGTTAAGTGCGCAACGCGTCGTCCATACCACGTATTACAAAAGCAAATTATCATTATATTATCTAAATTAATTTATTTAAATACAGTCCACTCGTAATTAAGTACATCGTATTACTTCAATCTTAACTCACCACGTAGCAACAATTTGCATAATGCATTATAAAAAGATAAACTTTCGTACTCTTCCCCGTACTAAAACATAATATTAATAAATTTCAAATTACAACTTTTAACGCTTGGTTGTTGAAGTAACTGGCCATTCACCATTATCCGATCTACAAGCTTATTTTTAACTCATTACGCTCGTATTGTGATTTGTGATAAAAATAATGTATCAATATGTTGTTATTGTGCTTTGTGTTTAATAATAACTGCCTTAACTAATTTCGTAATATTTAATGTATAAAAAACCCTGCCTTAGTGTATTTAAATCTAAAGCTAAGCATAAAATATATTATACTTTCTTCAAAATTCGCATTTATTACTTCTGTAATAAAATATTTCAAACAAAGACATTTTTTTGATAGGCGCAAATGGAGTTAAACATTGATAATTCATGCCATTTTATAGAAAATAGTATTTAAATACTTAACGTTAAAAACCAAAAAATATTTATTGAATACAACAATTTAAATATTGACATTCAAATTGTCTTTAATTTTTAATTGAATTACGAATACAAAAAATTTCATTACAAATAGTTATATAATTTATTTTACTTATCTAAATATAGAAAATAATATTAATGACATAAAAGTGTCAGTAAAGCCAGGAACGAACCCAAGAGAGATCGTGCAAGTGTGATACCTTCTATTTGAAAGTAACATTAGACTTTAAATTAATAATTAACACTTGATAAGCACCATCCCTACAATATTTTTTTTTAAAGGTCGTCCCTGACTATGGTAAGAAAGTATTAATTTATTGATAATAAAAAACGCTAAATAAAATATAACTTCTTCAGTTCATTAATTTTTGCATAATACAAAACCAAGATTGGTTATAGTATATATTTATCACAAGCCTCTTATTTACAACTGGCAAAACCAACTCTGTTGTTTTCTAGATCAAATTCTGTATAATAACGACCGATGAAGACATCTCCCAATATCCACAATGGACCATTTGGAGGAGGAATGTCGATACCCATAAAACCAGATATACACAAGGTTTTTCCAAACTGGGACACCTTAAATATAAAAATAAGTCTTTTTAAATCAATAATCAAAAAAATAACAAATTTTAACAATTTTTTATCTGGAAACATCTAATATTAACAAACAAAAAAAACACAAACTCACCTTCAATATATAATCTTTTCCTTCAAGTTTAAATGTTGTGTTATTAATTACAAACGATATCACAGGTAAATTATCAATTTGATCGCATGCAATCTAGAACAATCATTCACCATTAGTTATAGGTCCAATGAAATATTAAACAACTGATCTTACAATGTATTCTCCTCCTGGTATGGCAGTACCACCAAGAAGCTCATTGATTTGTTTTATATTATCAACGGGCCCAGCAATTAAGCTGGTACCAGTATCAGCAATAGCTTGAAGGGCACCATTCACAATTGATGTATTTCCAACAAGTACTCTTTAAAAAAAAAAAATTAATAAATAATAAAATATAGGTATATAAAAAGGAAAATAAAATACTTCTTCATAAAAATATTAATTAATATTATTTACAATAAAAATAATGAATTTTAACAAAAACGGTGTTTTGTCACAAATAATTAACAATTATGTAAAAATTAAAACATAGTACATACCCATCAAGACCAAACTGCCAATAACCATGCCTGGTAACAGGAACATATGTAAAGGGTCCTGTATATTTTTCAGGGTCAGATCCACCAAATATTATTTCACCTCCCGGAGTGCTGGATGGATCTCTAAATATAATAATAAAATAAAAAATAATTACTTTGAATGTTTTATTCCTGAACTTTTAGTTATGTAACAAGCTTTAAAAATAATTTTTTTTAATATATTACATCATTACCTGGACAAATAAAATGAAAATATGGCATTTTTAATAATTCCCTGACTAACCATATTGTAGAATGGAGGTATAGCTCCATCAACTGAAATTGTGTTGTATCCTAAACCAAGTATTCCATCAAATTTGGCGGCAACAAAAGCTAATCCTGGTTCTTGGATTGCTTCAGCAAAAGTTTGATTAATAATTGAATTTCCATCTATCTAAATGGTAATTATTATTAAATTTAGAAATTCAAATATTAACTAATCAAAAAAATTGGAAGTTTACATTAATAAAAGAAAAAATAAATAAATAGTATTATAAAATGTATTTATGATAAAAATTGATATCACTTTTGTCAAGAAAATGTTGATAAAAAACCAAAGCACTAATAAATAACATTATTCAAATACTTTATATTTATTATTAAATTTTAATTAGTGATGAGAACTTATTGACATTATTACTATTTGGCGGTGAAAAAACCTATTAAAATTTTTATACTTAAAAATTAATCTAACAGTTTTAATTATTCAATTCTGTCATCACTACATACAATAATTTATTTTTGAACTTTATACTTTTACTTTAACTATTAGTAAAAATAAAACTATTAATGCTTGTGAGTTATGACTTAATTTGTTAAGTGAATTTAAAGTTTTATCTATGTACATACTGATTTAAGTATAGGTACAATTACAATTATGTAATTAAATGTCAATTAATATTTAAAAAATTATAATCCTTGCAATACTAATAATTGAAAAATAATTCTATTCCATTGTTATTAATTTACTATAAATGTATCTAGCATCTATTAATATTATTAAATAAATAAATATTATGTATAGAATTGTTTTATTTAAAAAACCATGTACTAACAGAAATGACATCAGTAGATAAGTAGCCCGATAAACTTCCTGAACCGTAATGAATTGAAAATGAAGTTCCATTTTTTTGATATGTAGTTGACTTGGACATATCATATTTGTTATGTAATACTGAAAAAAAAATATTTAAAATAAAAATAAATAGTGTTGGTAGCATAAATAAAAATAATTATATATTACTGCATGCTATGTTCAAAACACTACATTGTTTTGATGGAACCCACAGATTTGATGAACCTGTATCAAATACTACATTGAAGGGTTGAGGAGGAGTTCCGATAGTAATCGGTCCATAGTATTGAGCCTGAAATTAAATTAAATTGTAGAAAAAAACTTAACATTTAAATATGGAGACAAAATATGCTTACATCTAAATAGTTGGACAAAGGTTCGGCATTGAGTGGATTATAGCGACTTTTAATATGATCAAAAGAATTGGTAATATTTCTGAGCTGCTTACGTACACTATCAATTTTGTAGAGTTTTACCCTGAAAATAACAAATAACGATGTGAATACATTTAATTTTTATTTTTTTAAATCAATTCATGAACTATCCTCGATAACATTACTCACCTAAGCAAATCGCCATCGCATTGGACTAATGTAACTGTAATCGCAAATACAGTCAGTAACAGCAGACATAAACGTTTGAATGCACTCATTGTGCACCACACAAGTATACAACGATAGTAGCAACAAATTAATGTTAATAAATTTGTACGAAGACGGATAACCGTAATAAAGTGTGTCGAAATCAAAAATAATGCAAGTCACTTGTTTTATCAACAAAAGAAAAAAATGTCTAAAAAAAAAAATAAGAATAATAATAGCTTATTATAGACACAAGTGTATACTGTGTAATATTAATCATACGTTATTATCAACACTGATATTGATTAATGACAAATGACAATAATATTTGCTTCTTCTTATCTTCTTCTTTTTATAATATAAAACGGGAGTGAACTTCGCTTTTTTCTCGATAAGTTTGATATACTGCCAATCAGAATATTAGATTTTTTCTTATCTACCTATGCGTCGTGTCGCTGTTATTTCCCGCGCCGCTGACCACCCGTTATCGTTATCAGTCGTTATTATTACTGTTATTGCAGTTTTTCCACTTTTCGCCCGTTTTTCCGACCTTTTGAGACCTTTTTCCGTTGCGTTCTCGATTCTGTCGCGCAGAGCGTGTTTTTTTCGTTCCGTACGTGTGCGTTTTTCGTGCGATTCGGTCTTCGACCGTAGCGGTAAGTGGTAACAAAGGCGGCCGCCCGCCGACGAACGTCGCGCATTTTTCTCCGATTTTTCTCTCGGCACGAGTCGATTTTGTCTCTTTCGCTTCCGCGTGTTTTCTCATCGCGTAGAACGTGTCTTTTGCGCGTGTGCCGGTTGTCCCCGAATTCCGTTCGTAGCTGTCGTTTCGCGTTCTCGAAAAACGCGTACGCCCAGCGTGTTTTACGGTCGGTTGGCCCTATTTTCTATTATCGTATATTCGTATATACTACTGTTTTTTTCTATTATTATTATTCAATAAATCGCATTATTTATCTGTATTAAATACGTGTTATTTTGTTTTCAGTGTCTCAACACTCGGACACTTCCACGACTTCATCAGTACTGTCTCGATACCTAATGTATAATATGTGTATAATATGATATATTTGTTAATAATATAATTGTGCGTATGATGGGTCACATTGCTGACATACGTCAGGTTTAACAGATTCTTATGTATTACAAAAACGAATTGCAAAAGTTTTGCTCTTAAGTCGTTACAATGTTTTTACTTGCATTTGAGGTCAGTGGTATTAATTAGCGGATGTGAGTTTGTTAAATATAAAATATTTAATAAACATTATTGAAAATTACAAAAACAAACAAAATCGAGTATTATTTATAGTCTCCAGTATCATATATATTAGATATAGAAGTATAATTCTACAGGATTTCAATTGTTACACATATGTATTATTGTACGAATACATATTAATGCTTTATGAAATGTTGCTATTATGTGTTAAGTAAGTTTTGTTTGTAATATGAAATTATATTTATCAGGCGAGGGCATACCATTTAGTTTTTTGTATACATTTGGTGTGATATGATATATGTACATAGGTATGTATGTGTAAACTCAATATATCATTAAGATATATACAATATATAAATATAGATGAATACAATATATAAATGTAGATGAATACATCATAAACACTCTAAACAACAATAAATATGTGATTTATGGTTTTATAACAGGAATTGTAAAAAATTGCATTGGTTATACTGTACCACAAAGACTCCTACGGGGATGGCGGTTGGTCTTAAATGGTGATGACTGATGAGAAAATATTATACAAGGGAAAATAATACCCAGAAATTTATCTCGATAACAACTATAATAATATGGTGACCTGTAAAAAGGACGGGTGACCAAAAATAAATATAATAATATAAATAAATTTGTTTACGCGCCGTCGTGTTATAATATTATATGATAGAAATATTGAGGTACTAAATTAATAATAACAATAATAATAAAAAAATAGGGCACCCAATTAATATGACAAAAATCGGTATACAAAAAACAAAACAAATGATAATAATAACAATAATAATAATTATGGATATCACCTATATCGACGACTTGGATCTTGAGCAACGTGATCGCATGAATTCTCCGCTGCAGGAACACCGGTATGGATTATAGTGATTATACTGTACACTACCAACTCACGAACTTTACGCCCAAATAATAATAGGTAGTTATATATATATATATTATATTTTAGTGTCTGCAACGGCAAGAGCGGCGGATACAACGACGGCACACACGTTATAAAAGAATAAGGGTGCAACGATACAAAATTTAACGACACACGCGGGCCAAGAGTTTATGGCAACGTCTCGACGATGTCGTACAAGACCAGCGAGCGAGTGAGTTCCCTTTGGACAGCGGTGGTCAAAGACGCCGATGCCATATAGACAAGAGGGGAGGAGGGCGACGATAAAGTCGACGAGCTTATCGCACGCAAACAATAATCATAGTATGTATATCTTGAGCATATACGACGTTTAATGCAGTAGTATTCGTTGCTACTCTATAAATGGTTTAAATCCTCAAGATTCGGCATCGGTTCCCAACTCAAATGGTAATCTGTTATGTGAAAATGATAGGTGTTAGGATAGGTTTTCTAATGTTTGATAGGCAGGTTTGATTCCCACTTCGGCAATATCCGGGCGGCGCATCGAATTACATTGCCGCCGGATATTTTGCATTTTTTATTCTTGATTTTTTCATTTAAATATTATTGTTAGCTAATAGTAATTTTCGTCATCAAGGTGAGTGCATATTTATTTTCGATATCTAATTTTCTATAAAATATCAAAAAGATTTTAAATATATGTATATTTTTTAATTGACTGTTTATCACGACTTGCAAACGTTTGACGTGTATTTTCTATAATACATTTAAAATCTCCACTTTACGCCTACCTGGGAAGTTTAAATGCGTTTTACTGGATAACCAGTGGTGATCGTTGAAAATCAAACACTTGATTCGACTTCACTATTTTACGTACAGAAACAGAACAAGAAAACATATTCGTCGTCTGCAGTAGGTATAACATTCAGCCGCATTACCCAGCCAGATATCGATATACATCGGGTGATGACTGTTAGCTAGATCCATAATTACCATTTTATAGGAGTTTATTTATTTTAAATTTGCGAAAAACACCGAGCAAGCCACGGAAAATGCATCCAATCCGCCGCAGGTGGTTTGCCCAGCCAGGTATCGATATGCACGGGGTGATGACTGATAGCTAGACACTCGATTACCATTTTCAGAATGTATTTTTATTTATTTTACATACATAAAAGCACCGGACAAGTTACGGGACAAGGTATTTTACACTTTTGAATTTCTTGTAATGAGTGATCATTAGACATTCGAATTATTCGACTTTTATAGACTTTTATTATTTACGCATTTAAAACAACACCGCCAGAGTAGAAAGCACAGTCTTAAAAGTTTAATATATATATATAGATACTAAGTACTAGAAATTGCACTTTTGCATTAACCAGTAGCCAAGTATTGAAATAATTAATGAGTATTGTATTTTTGTATAAAATAAAGGTGCTATATAAATTAAAATTTGATCTAGTTATAAAAAAAATAAATAAATTGTCTTATGTTAAAAGTTCAGAATGTCTAAAATTTAGTTTATTTATTCAGAAAATAATTTATAATTAAATTAAATTAAATGTCATCATAAACGGCATTTCATAAATCAGGGATATGAATTAAAGTATTTTTTTTATTCTGGGTACCTACCCACTTATTTTGTAAAAAGAAATTTTAAGTACGGTTAATATATTTTGTACAACAATACTATATAAATATTAATAGTATACAGACAAATGTTTAATAAAAATACGTAAACAAAATAAAAATTGAATGGTGATGGATAATAAAATAAAATAGGCACCTAGCTAATAATTAAGGAATATTCATACCAAAAAAATTTGATCATTTTTCAGCATCGTGTTGATCAAGCGTATAGTAATTAATGTTTTATATCATAATTAATGACCACATTTTCTTTGAAAGTTATTTTTGTTAGTTTTGCATTATTTTACATTATTTTGATAGTTATTGTGTATTTATTTAATTAAAAATTATAACTTAAAAGGTAGATTAAAATTTAAACTGTTTGTAAAACGTAAAAACAATAAGCATTAATAATTTATTGTTTGAAATTAATATAACGCCGTAATTTTGCCACTCTATAAGCGTTTTTTTTATTAATGGGTTTAACACTTGGACTGGTACTGATATTTTTCCTATGCACATACTAGAATAACATAGCTTACACAAACATCACATATATAGCTTTTAAGAATATAAAGAATAATATTAATGATCTTACAAATGTTAAAAAAAAGTTAATGTTTGTTTAATTATAACTTAAACAAAACTAATAAAATAAGTATAGTATTTGAATGAAAATTAAAACGAATATTACTATTCTTGACGACTGCCCCTCTCTAAACGCCATACTATATACGAATATTACGAATACGGGCTGTGTACAGCTGGCTGACCGCAGTTCAGCGTGAACATTATCGAATAGGTAGTTCAATTCCAGTCAACACACGAGCAACGACTGACGGTTATTCACCTATAGTCTTAAAACGTTTACGTTTATAGATATATTGAATATTAATAATAATATTGTACAAATATACAATTTATTTTTCATTAGAAATAAATCCGTAAAAATATATTAAAATAATGCCGGAAACTGTGGTTACCATTCAAAATCCTGAATCCAAACCTGGAAAACACGGAGTGGAAAATGGAAACATGAACAACATTTTTTCTTGGGTAGAAATCAACTACAAATATTTCAAAACCTTGCCAGGGATATTGAAATTAGCACAGTTGGTAAGTTGCATAATAAATATCTATGTATAATTTAAAATGTATTACACATATTATTAAGTAGGTATATAAACACAAACTATTATAACGATTAATTTTTACTAAAAATAGAAAAAAAAACATTTCGGTAAAAACTATTATTTTGAATAGCCTCAGAAATATGAAACATTCCATTGGTTTTGTTGTTGGATAACATATTCTGAACGTTAGACCTATCCCCCGTGCTTTTGAAATTAAAATACTTTTTCTTTCGAAGTCGTTTGAATAATAGTAATAATAATATTATGTAGGTACATAAAACAATCCTACCTAATTATAGTATGTACATATTTCATTCATAATCATCATATTCCAGTCAGAGATAAACTGTCAACTCGCATAGCGCGGTGGTAAACGATGCAACAGAATAAAGTAATGGAATATATCTGGAAAGAACAATAAAGTGAAATTGTATCAAATTTAAATAATTTAAAAATATTCCATACAAAATAATTGTATCGCGTTTTTGTGGTTAAGAAACAAAGGAACACAAACAAAATGTTTAAAAGATTTTAAACAATTATTGAACATGCAAAACTAAAAAGACATACCTAATTTTTGATAGGCAATGAAAATTATCAATGAAATCATAATTTTATCGTTTGGATTTTAATATTGGCTTTAAACGTTCAGTTTATGAATCATTAAACCATTAGTGTAAATGCGCATTTGTTTATAATAATAAAAAACATCGATGTAGTTTTTTTTTGTGTATTATAGTTTTATTGGAATTAGGGACTAAATAATATATGTATAGATAATATTTATACATAACTATATCATAAAACTGTTGTAGTTGTTTACGCAAGGAAATGCCGGATATACATATAACACATATTTTTTATGAATATAAACACAATATTATAATCTATGCGTTTACATTGATGTTATTGTTATTTTAATAAAATTTGTTAAGTGCGCGTGCATACTTAAAAAGAAACATCTATTGGCCAAACCTCACGCCACCACCACTACGCGTAAACACATCAAAATAGGTTTAAGCATTCTTGGCGCACCTAACTTCCACAAGGCTACTACAATAGCTTTTGTCAAACAGTGAAAAGTGACACACACAATTATTATTATATTATTATACATTACAGAAGAAAATATTATAACATTTATAACCTAAATGGAAATTTAATTACACGTTTTATTATTTTCCAAACAACGTTATTTAAGTGTTTGAACTGAAAATCGAACAAAAACAACTCTGCATAATGATATTATATTTTATAATACTAAATACTCAAAAATAAAATCTGGATCGATATTGTAAACGCCAAACAGTACGTACTTATAGATACGTACAATAATACATATATTTGTGCTTTATAACCTACGTAAATTGTTTCATTTTTATACATGTAGTTTTAAAAATATCGTCTCATTCTTGTACGGTTTAAAGAAAAAACAAAGTCACTGCGGCGTATCCACAGTTATATACTATATACATATATGTAGCGTCCTAAAATATACGCCCTAGTTATAATAATAATATTTAGTTGAATATCGGAATAGAATAAAGTATTATTATCGATTTTGTAATGTTTACAATATATTTTGATTCGAAAAATTTTAACGAACCTAATTGACTTATCGTAATTATGAAACAGTTATGTATAATTATTACATTAAATTCATTTCAGACGTGAAAAACGCACCACCATGTATTATAACAGTGGTGGCCAACCTTTTTTTAACTAGGGCCATAAATAAAAAAATTTTTTGACCGCGGGCCATAAAAATTTTTTTTACTTTTAAGTCATCAGAATTTTAGGTTATTTTGCCATTCTATACAAAAGTAATCGTCTTCCCACTGATTTTTAAAAACACGACATTCCGAGTCAATTTTCCGTTTTTTGTTAGACATAATGAACTTTTACAATACACAACGTAATATTACATTAACTTTATATTAGTCCTGACCGCAGACGAATAACGACTGAACACGATGGCTGTAGAAACTACAATGTAGATAAAATTGGTCGCGCAACGAGCGCAGTAATATTACTATATGTTGTATTACTATATATTGCTATACTACTAATATAATTGTAGTATTGTAGTTTCTACAGCCATGGTGATCGTATGAAAATAAGATAAGATACGGTAATGCTATTTATATTATTAAATTACATTGTAACAACAAAAACGCTACGATATGGCGATACGGGATTAAATATGAAGAATGTATACTGTATATTTTTAATTTTTTTTTTTTACGTAAATGTAAAATATTATACTTCTTTCGCGGGCCAGATATTAAATGATGGCGGGCCGGAGTTGGCCCGCGGGCCGTAGTTTGGCCACCACTGTATTATAATATCAAACGACTTGTATTTAACACATACGCGTGAGAAAAAATAACACGCGTACATATGTTTTATTTTTAGATGCCGGTTTGTAGAGAATAAATTGTAATTTAAATAAGCATATTATCGCAGGAAACTGTCGTAATGATAAATAACTTTCTTACTTGAGCGTGAATAAATGTTTTAAAGTCGTTAGATATTAACACTTAAGATTAAACGGTTATTTGAAGGAATCAATAATATTAAATATAAACAGTCGTTCAAAAATTTTTGGTCTGTGGTGACAGATTTTATTTTACCACCATTTTTGTTAAAGGATTTTCAATATGTTTGTCAAAATGATTTAAAATTTTTCACCGTTTGTGTGAATGCATAAATAACACGGAATCCGGAGACTTTGACCTAACGACTTATTTTATGAAATAATTATAACAACAAAGCTCCAGGCCATTTATAAAAACCTGCTCGTGTTCTGCTACAAAAATAATAATAACAATATCCAAACGGAATGTAGTAAAATAAAAAATTAAATTGTGGGTTATTAGGCATGTATTGGGGGATAACGTGTTTAATATTATGTATATAAATACAAATAATTGTTGTGACACACTGCACAAGGTAACCCACGCGAAGGAAGGCGGAAAAAGAAAAGTTCATCTATATATTATTATACCTGCTCTACACGAGGCTCTACACCTCTTTAATAAAATATATTTTTGAAATATATATGTTTGTATACAGAGCGATCGTTTTACCGATGAACTGCAGACCATAAATATATATACATTTCATAGTTGTTATTATTATTTTATATACTCGTATTTATGAACATTTAAACAAATGTTTCTTGAACAAACATAAACAGATAATACAACACTTGACGTGTACCATCCAACAATATTTAAAATTTATTTTTTTAAGCAGCATTAAGTTTAGCATAATTTAATAATACTCATTTCGTTGACATTTTTAAATGGAATTTTTTGTCTATAAGTTTAATTTTAGAATTTACACAGGTGCAAAATATATTTCGTAGTTGTCTACATCATTGCATTTTCATAATATAACTTGTCTATACCTAAACGTTATAAATTAGTGGAATAAATTATTAAAATCTGTATTATATTATACTCGTATATTATCCTTTGCAGTGTACGATATTTTAAACCATAAACCGCATAAATCGGTTGTCATTAAAATCACTTTCTGGGTAAGTAGCATCGGCATAAAATACAAATAGAGCGACTGGGGATTAGTCTCTCTCAATCCCCAGAAATTATAAACAATCCTCTAAATTAATATATACATGAGCGAAATACAGTCATACTTGGCATATATTTCTCTTTAATTTTTCCTGCGAGCGTATACTAATTATATATACTATATTAGTTTATAAAAATATTAAGGAGCCGAAGTCCCTTCTTCTTCTTTTAATCTTCGAGAATTTTGATTTATTTATGTGATCGATAAGAAAATAATATTATTCGTTCATAGGGAAGATGCGGCGAAAAGTACATAATATAAATATTTCTCTACTATATCTTGTAATAAGTCCAAAATATATTTTTCTAAACTCTTTTTCCGGAATTTCTCGTTATAGTCATCCACAATCAATTAATATATAATATCAATAATATTGATCATTAGTTCTGTGTGATTGTGTGTGCAGGTGTGTACCGCGTTCACTAGTTTTAAATTTTAAGTAGGACGAATGACGACGATGATGACGGTACGCACGTCGTTGCAACGGTGTTTTCGACGGAATATACCACTGTTGCAATCACTCCTACGCTCGAGAAGTTTTTCATTAATTAATACGATGTTGTAGTGATTATGGTCGTATTCATTTTTTCCGTTTCCTGCTGTTACGCGACATAAGTCATCTTTGCACTTCCGCTTGCTGACTGTAAGCATTTTTCAATTTATGGGGTACATTATAATAAAGATCATTGGCGTCGACACACTGACCTGCAACTGCGTATAATATGATCTATGATATTATGTGTGTGTAAGTATATACCTACGCTCCTTATACGCGACACATAAACGGCTAAACGTCTTAATTGAACGTTAATTAAACCAATTTCTACCGGTTAACAAACAGTATAATACAGTCATAATTATGAGATGGTCATTCGTTCCCTGTTCGCATTAAAATGAAAAATAATTAAAACGGAGGCGGAGGCGGACCACACCGCGCGGTATCTACCTTCTTTATAATATGTACTTTTGTTTTATTTTCATTAGAACGAGAGAAAATGAGAGGCAGTAGTTATAATGGTTTTATAATAGTACTTACATGCTAAAAAAATATAAAGTATACGCGTAATAAAATAGATACTAAACATGTATTATGTATATAATATTAACACTATATAGGGTGATATTGTTTTAGATGATTTTTAAAAAATGTTAATACAATAGAGATCGAAATATGAACTAGCAGTTTCTAATTTACTCGCTTAGTAAGATAATAATTTATTTTATTAAATATTTGATTACAGTAGTTAATACTTTATAGTGTACATTTATAAAAATGTTTGCATTATAATACTTAAATGCGCATTAATTATGTACGTAAAAATTTAAATGTTTAAAATCATGGTTTTTATAAATTTACTTAAAAATATATAATAAATGAAAATTATA